GCTGATTAAAGTATCAAATCTCTCAGAAGACATTATCATCATTATACCTTTGAAACCTCAACAAGATTTTACAGAGAAGCAATGGTACTTCACAAGGAGTGACGATCTACGTATCCACGTGATAAATGTCAAGTATGAAAATACTCTGCTGATGCTAGATTTCAAACCCCAAAAACCAACCGTACATCTGTTTGCTTACATACGTTTTGGTCAGCGGCCAACAGTTGAAGACTACGACCTCAATGCCACTATATCTCATAACGAAAAATGCGTTTGGATGTTAAGCATGGATGGGAAGAGTGAAGGACAAACGGGCTGCTCTTTGAATCCTCTTGCACCAATAAAAGTTATGGCTAAGCGTCCTGGAAAGTACTTTCTTGGCCTCAAAAATTACAATGCCACAACTAACACGTTTCACAAAAGGGAGAAAAGATCTTGTTTTGGAGGAAGGCGACGCAAGCGCTCCTGCATCGAAGTCAAAGATCCACCAGCCACCCCACCCCAGAGTAAAAATGTCTCTGTGATACCAGTTTATGATTCCACAACAGATAAGAACTATACTCTAAAGGTTTCCTCAGGAAGTTGTGTATACTGGTCTGAGAAACTTGAGATGTGGATAGCTTCTGGTTGTCAGGTGAGTGTAAAGTTAACTAAGATTCTACCTCATCATAGTCTACGTCACAAAGGAATCCCGTGAGATTGCGCGAGCAAGCCAGGTCAGTGTGCAGTAAGCTTTCGGTTATGGCGAACGCAGACGTGAATGAGATGAATGAGAAAGACGGCAAATCTCTCTCTAGAGGAGAAGAAGACGAAAATGCATTGTTAGCCGACGACGGAAATGATCATGACACCACCGGTGCTCATGTTATCGCTCCCAATAAACTATGGGAAGCTATTCAAGGACTGCAAAAGAAAGTTGATCTTTTGCCGGGAACGTCAACATGCATCACCGATGCTTCATTAAAGCGGAAAGTACCACAAACGTCCAAGGAAGAGTCAAAAATTGACTCAAACTCCCAACCGGGACCCTCAAAAAAGAAAGCTAGAAAAGCTTTGTCTGATTCCGATGACGCATCGGACGACTCAAACAGCGACGAAGTTAAATATAAATGAACATCTGGCGAATCTTATTAATAAGAGATTTGCTGGTAAACTCAAAGAAGCGGAGCTTAAAGAAAAAACTAGAATTGTATGTCCGATCCGGCAACTGCGAAAAATTGAGAGTGCCCCTCGTGAATCACGAACTATGGGGTAAGCTCGAACCACCGGTCAAATCACAAGACTTGTGCCTCGCAAATGTCCAACAGACTGTTGTGAAAGCCACCATTGCGCTTTCAGAGGCAATTGAGAAGAAAAGTAAATTTAAAGGGAAGATGGATGAAAAACTTAAAATTATTTCCTCTTTGACCGATTTCGCTTGCGCCGCTGGGACACGCAACTTATCAGCTTTCATTACGGCGACGGGATATTAAGAGACCCTCAATAAACAAGGAGCTCCGTGCNACCATTTTTCTTGTCTTTTGATTGGTATTTTGAGCAAGAAATTTGGAGACAGGGGTGAATCCCTAGTGTGTGTGCCCCAACATAAAACATCGCCTGAAACTCGAAGCGAAATCAAAGTTATGATACTGAAAGACGAGGTGTTGCGAAGTGAAATGCACCCGTAGGATTGCTGATTTAAAACGGACGTATAGATAATAACCCGAATGGATGATTTCAGTTTAAAGTCTATGTTTTACTTTTACTCTCAAAATATTCTTTAACCCGATGATCTTGTGTTAACTCAGGTGGCAAACAATAGAATATATTGGAGCTGGTTACAGAATATTTTCCTTCCCGGAGTGTTTTCCGGCAGATGGTACAACGGTCAAGAGGAGAAGCAAACAATGTACATTGGTAATAAACACTCTCTTCTTGTAGGAATGGCTCGAGTAAGGCAACTCAGAGTGAAATCGAGTAAGTTTTTCATTTAATTTTCTGTCTTTCAATAAAAGGGCTTTTAATTTCCACATGCCATTTTAACTCTTATGGTCATACATATGCCTTTGAGTCTGAGAGAGAAGCGAATGGTGTCCAAACTTAGATATAAATGACGATAGTTTATTCCATTCTCTAAATGAAAAATATGCTACACCAGAGAAAATGTTTTTGTTATCGACCATTTTATCTGTTACTGTTTAAAAGAGTGCTTTGTTTATTGAATTTAAATTTGGGTTTAAATGGACAGCGTTCTTCCGCCCCCTTAGGCAAACGCGACTTTAACGTGTTCTACAAAGAGCTTCCTTTCACTGTATAAGAGAAGTATAATAATATGTGTCTGCTTAATAATTTGAAATGTGGTGATAGAAATGCATCCGTTAACAAACTACCTGAACTGGTTTATTATTTGCCAAAATTGCAGGCCAATGTCAAGTGGTAAGATACATGGATGGATTATTCCAAGAATGCTTCGAAGGATACTCAGCAAAGAACGAAGACAAGACCGCGTACAATAAACCAGGCTGGAGGCCTGTGAACAATGTTACGAGAACTGTCGAATTACTACAGCTTTGCCCAAAGCCCTGGCGTTATCAAAATGCTGAGGAAACAGAGAGTGTACCCAAATGGGGACAGTTGTCATTTTACCACGGTGGAGGGTTTGTTGCAGACCTCGGGTACGGGAACCATACTGGATTCAGCATTATAGCAAATTTGCAAAACAACGGCTGGCTTGACAGGCAAACAAGAGTTGTCCTCGCCGAGTTTTCTACTTTTAATCCAACAGTAAATATTTTAGGCATTGCCACATACTTATACGAAATTGATGCATCTAGTATGAAAGTAGCCTCCGTGCAAACTGATATTCTTTCCCTTTATGATACGGACACAGCCTCGCACCAGTTTTATTTGATTTGCATGTTTTTATTTACTGTATTTGTTTTTCTGTATTCCGGAAGAGAAAGCTTTAGGCTTTTTAAACATCGCTCTCGATACTTCAAGTCCTTGTGGAATTGGGTCGAGATATTCCAAATTGTCTTCTCTCTGTTGGCCGTGGTGATGTACATAACACGACAAGGTAAAGTAAATTCGACGATGAGGAAACTGAAAGAAAACATTTATGCAAATGTAAGTTTTCAAGAGGCTATCACTTTTCATGAAATAGAAAATTCCGTTGTTGGAATCCTAATGTTTATAGTCACCACAAAACTCTTGCGGATTATTCGCTTAAACAATTATGTTGCTATTTTTTTAAAAACATTGAAGAAATCTTTGCGATCTCTTTCTTCCTTTAGCGTTGTTTTATTGACTTCATTTATGGCATTTTTGCACTTCGGCGTCTTGATGTTTGGCTCTGTATCTGAGCGTTACTCTTCGGTGTTAAAAGGAGCTTACTTCCAAATCGAGCTCACTCTTGGACGAGTAAAAGCCAGACCAATTAATGAACTAGCTGAGGCAAATAACATATACGCCAAAATATTCGCTTTCCTAATACTTTTCACTCTTACAATCCTCTGCATGAACTTTTTTATCGGCATGATAAATGATGCTCTTTTAGAGGCAAAGAGCAACGGGAACGAAAGTGAGCTGTATGAACTTAGTGATGAAGATATATGCTCGAGCTCAAAAGAAAGGAGAGAGTTTTTCGATGCAATCTGTAAAACACTTAAACAGTGTAGAGCATCGCAAACTTGGGCAAAAGAGGAGAAAAAAGAATTAGGAAACGTTGGCACTCATTTCATGAAGAGTCCAAAACTCAACTTTGATTTGATAAGTCAGGCTATAGTAGCTTTGAGGGAGAAGATAACCAGAGAAAAAATAAATGAACATCGATACAGCCCAAGGAGACAATCACCCTTTGACAAGATAAGCAGTACGTTAAAATCCGCGAAATATGAAAGCATTAACGAATGCGGCAAAGGTAAAGCAAAAAAGAAAGTAAGATTCCAAGAGGATGTTGTTAAGTCTTCCTTTGGAAAACTACGTAGAAGAAAACATGACCTGTTTCAACGGCTGGAGAGAATTGTATCCGGGTTCTCACAAGAGGACGAAGAATTTCATGTTTTATTAAAAACAGCAGTGGCTCAGAATTACTGGGTTGAGAGAGAATACTAGGAGGTGACAAAAGGATAAAAAAAACATTTTATTCCAAATTAACTTGAAAGACAGATACTATGTACTGTCAGTATATAGAGGCTCGCACCATAGTCCCCTCTACTAACTATGCTCGCACACACAAAGATGTTGCTGGAATTTGCCTATCGTAATAGCTAATGAAAGATTGTGCCAGGTACCAAAACAAAAACAAACAAAGAAAACAAAACAAAATAATCTTGGTTTTTTAAGCTTATATCAGAGGAAGTATTTGTATTCACCTCTTCTATGAGTAACGTATTGATTGTTCAAAGAAATTTCATCTATTTAACTGCAACAATGTAATCTTAATAATTAAAAAAGTGCTGTACCTAGGAAGTTAAGTGCTGTTATTCTTATCTACCGCTTTGCAAAGGTTTGAAATTTGTATTGCCCTCGAGTGTGCTTACCCCGCCCTTCTTATCCCTGCTCCAGCCTTCTTCTGCAAGCCTCATGGCCAGTTTTTATGACATAAAGCGACTTGGAGAATCCACTCTTTCCCCGAAAGGTACTCCCCATCCCACCAGCCAATCTGCTTGCAAATACCACAGGCATCCCAGATTCCTCGTGTGATCTAACACAGCGTCACACAACACGTGACACTTTTCTTGTCTTTATTGATTCTCTCATCAACAATTACGTGTCCGAGAATTAGTCTTTCGCTTTTCACAAGCTTGGGACACCTATGCTATTACTAAATGTCTATCCACCGTTCCGTGATTTTCGCCCTAACATGCAACAGGGGCTCGTTAGGTGTCAAAATCGAAATATGCACTTCGATGTGTGTTTATATATGCGTTATTGACCAAGCGAGAGGTCAAGATGGCTGGATATGGGGCAGGTTTGTTTTATCTTTTTCTTCATTTATTTTTCTTTTTTCGTACTGATGGACGGAGACAAAGTTGAGGTCCTAAAAAAAAGTTAAAAAAAAGGACGAAGCTAATATCCAGCCATTTTCACCGCACAAGTGTGATCAATAAAGGATTTATCATGCTGCGAAATGCCAAGGTCTTCTAATATTGCGATATAATGCATTCATTCATTTACTTGTTTTTTGGCTTGCTTGAAATGTTCTTATGTATACTTCTAATCTCTATCTTTTGCGGTATCACTCCCATCCTCTGTTTGGATCAATTTCGGTAAACGTCATCTAAGACCATAATATCTCACTCTCTGCTCCAGAGAGTAACTGTTATCCTTGTTGAAAATGTGTCGTTTTGCCGAGAACTGAAATAAATCAATGATTTCAAAAGTCTTTCGTTCACTTTCTTTCTTAGTTTAAATCAGCACTTCTTCTTATTCATCGCTTTTATAGGACGTAAGAACGCATAATTAAGTCATAACTAAAATTCAAAGTTCAAACAGTCAATTGTAACACCAGGCTACCCAGGAAAGAGTACTTTTTCGACACACTATGCTTTTCTTTTTCTTTTTCTTTTTTTTTTTTTTTTTTTACAAGGCCCGACGAAGTTTGTCGAAAGAGGTTCCTTATAACGCTTACGTCACACAGAAAACAGGAAATTCTGACCAGGCAGCAAAGATAAATATTGTTCAGTCAATTATTTACCAAAGTGGGGGTGAATAGTGGTGGATATTTACCGAGCCCCGAAGCGGCTGGTAATGAATATTTACTTCTTTCATCGACACTGAAGTCATTACCATATACCACGCAGATGCCGAAAAAGTGATTTATCTCTTTCAATATACCAAAAGACTATCGGAAATTAAACTCTTGACGTGCGATTTTATCTCTTCGACTGCTCAGAGGTGATGCTATTCACTTGCGAACTAGCCAATCAGCGCGTTCAAAAAGCACTATTTACTTGTGTGGCATATACCAACTCAGAATAGAGCATATATTTATACTTTACACCGACAACTTTGAAGCAATTATGAACATTGAATACATCTCAAGGATTAGAAAAGAATACGAACTAATCCGAGCGTAAAATATCCTATAAATGATGAATACTTTAATATACAGCTGCTACTTCCGAAACTAAAAGTCCGTTTGTTTTTTTGTTTTGTTTTGTTTTGTTTTTTTCGCTCGTTTTGACACTGATATGCGACTCAAAATATGGACGTTTACCAAATTGAAAGGCATTAGGCTATAGATTAGCATTAAGTGCATTTGACCTGACAAAATTAGACTGGTACAGCTGACTGCCAAATTAATCCTTTTCTAAAAGACACATTTAAAGTTGTGAGAGAGTGCGAGACTTTATATAAAGCAGATAAAGAGTTCTTTAAGTATGCGTGCCCGAAGATAAAGCACATGAAAGCAATATAATTTACATCGATGTTGCTGGTAGTCTCCCCGCATTTGATTGAGTAATTTTCGTTAAAAGTGGTAGTGATTAGAAGAAGATAAAATGCATAAAATTAAACAAACAAGATTAAAACGAAGAAAGGAAGGTAATGAAGACACTGGGATAAATTTTTAAAGAACTTAATTAGAAGTATCTGGAATATGAAAATTGAGCTCTGGAATGGCTAATCTGAAAAGGATGCAAGATATTTCGGTAATTAACAGCAATATTTGATCCTATCGTATTCATGTTTTTTTTTTCTTTTTTGTTTTGTTTTGTTTTGTTTTGTTTTTTGTGGTTAAATTGATAGAATCGGGAATTTCCTGCTCTTGTTTATTTCTTCAACGACGGGTGAAATTCATGCGTTAAGGAAACAGTAACGTCAGCAATATCCCGCAAGCATGTGTATGCATATGGTATTTCGAGGACTGGACTGGACTAGACTAGTAAAACGCGGACTAGTAAAGCGCGGACTACTAAAACGCAGACTAGTAAAACGCGGACTAGTAGAACGCGGACTAATAAAACGTGGACTAGTAAAACGCGGACAAGTAAATCGCGAACTAATAAAACGCGGACTAGTAAAACACGGCCTATTAAAACGCGGCCTAGTAAAACGCGGACTAGTAAAACGCGGACTAGTAAAACGCTGACTAGTAAAACGCGGACTAATAAAACGCGGACT